GAAGTTGGCCTGCCTGCAGGGCTACTTCACTGCAGCTAAGTGTGAAGTTGGAGATGTGGATTCCCAGCCAAGGGGCAAATATCAAAGCCTGGCCCAGATAGAAGGTCTGAGAGTTTGGATGGGGAAAGAGATTCCACCTTTCCTTACATCTGTGTAGTTTCTGCTGTTGAAAACAGATGCAAAGCACAACATGTTGCGTTTTATTTCTTTCAAAGCAGACATATACTTCTGTGCCTTGGATAAACCAGTTATTTGCAGAATACATGTAAGATATTTTAAAAGATAATGAGAGAATCAGAGGAGTTATAGCTATTAAGATAGGTAAGAAAATAGTTACTTAAAACAAGTCTTCAGCTGTGGAGACTGTAAAGGGAACATATTTCATGTTGTGATATGAAGGTTTGTGCCTTCACTTGTGTCTTTGCTAAGGTACATGGAAAACATATATTTATTAACTATTGCACTAAAATAGACCTTTTTTTACTTGTCTAAAAAAAATACTGTGCTGGCATGAACCGTAAAAAAAAGAAACAAGTGTTTTCTGTCATATTAGGAAACTGTCCTAAATGTTTCACCTGTGCTGGAAATTTAGATGTCAAACCTTGAACTGGGGCAGAAGCACACTCAGTGAGCAGTAAAGATCAGGGATCACTGAACAGTAAAACCCACTTCAGTTTTTATAACAGACAGTTTTCTAAAAGGAAAATTTCACTGAGTGTTGACCTCTACATCCTCTGATACAGGAGTGTAAATATTTCCATTACGATATACAAGACAAGTGCTTTGTAGAGAAACTTTTTGTAAGCAATTTTTTCTGAGTTTTAAGATGTAACACTATTTCTAAATTTTGAACCCTCTGTAAGACCATCCTGTTAGTAATGTACAACATGTGCATCATCAGAGAATAGTGTGGCAGAAAGATGCACTTTTAGATGAAGAGAGGGATAATTTTTTAAAAACGTTTGGTTACAAATTCTAATAGTCTAAGATGTATTTTCACAAACTGTTGCTTCAGCAGTAGAGTCTCACGCCAAGATTTGTGAATGCTTAATAACTTTCAGTATCTCAATTTCTTAATATCCCTTCAGAGCACCTGATATTCAGAGTGAGTACTCAGCATTTACAGAAAGTTGTTTGCTCTAGGGAATTCAAAGCTGGGGCTCCCTTGCCACCCCCCATCAATACTCTTAAAATCTTGTTGGCCAAGATTAGTATCAAGTTGCTTTCATCATGAAGTTTTAAAATCTTCCCTTTGTTTGAGGTGCATTTCTTCTAAAGTCCATAGCCAATCTCCCACCCAGATGTGAAGGGTGCATTTCTTCTAAAGTGCATAGCCAATCTCCCACCCAGATGTGAAAGCTGAATGAGCCAGCAGGTCCACAATGGCAGTGGTAGTTGCCAGCAGAAAGTCTTGAGGAAGGCACTCAGGAAAGGCTTTAGGAAGGTCTTCTATTCAGAGGAAGAATAATTTTGTTGGGGTGTTTTTTCCCATGCAAAATTTCCTATATGAAAATTTCTCTTTTTCAACTGGCTAACAATGCAAAGTACTTGCCTGTTGTATTTCTCTCTTTCCTCATCCTCCTGACTTGAGTGATAGTTATTTATTTCATAGCTGAAAAACCTGCTAAAGTTAAAGAAAGTGTGTCCCACTGCTCCGGTGTCAGGCTAAGCTCCAGGCTAAAGACAGTCACTGTGCTAAGTGCACAGAGGAGGTTAAGAACAATAAGCAGCCAAAGAAATTTGCAGCTTGGGGATGCAACAGGAGGTCCCTCTGGCTCAGTCATAACTCTGCTCTGCCTGTTGGCCAGTCTGTGCCAGATAATAAAAAGTTGCTCCATCTCTAATGATAGTCTGACTTCAGGATCCCAGTGCCTCTTCCCATGATACTGGTGAGCTTTTCTGATACATTGAAAATATTATTAATACTAGAGGGGCTGACAAATGGAGTTCAGGTTTAATGAAATTCTTGTAGGAGTAAAGGAATAGTGCTATAACCAAATATTAGCATCCAGCATGGCCCCAGTTTTCAGTCATTCCTCCATAACTGTTTTCATCCTGTAGAGCAAAATTAATTCACCTTCTTGCAAAAGTTTGCTGTTCAATTACAAGGCTCAAAAGAGCTGAAGCATTTTGAAATTACCTGGGAATCTGCACTACCGTTGTGCAGTGTCCCAAGCATAGTCAGCTAAGCATTCTTGCCTTATACATGAGATTCTGGACTCCCCAAGGGGGGAGGGGAGAGCAGATTTTGCAGTAATCACCATGACCACCACTGAAAGAGGTCTGTGACTCTGTGATTTATTTATAACAATAATAGTGAAGGTTTGTCACAAATGTAACTCACCACTTGCACTATGCTGGGAAGAGAATTTCTGAGTAAACTGATTATTCTAGATTCTTTCTTGCATGCTAACAATGGCTACAGGGTATGCATTTTGGTGAGAGCAAAGAATAAGAAGCTCCAAAAAACCACCTGTCAAGACATCGTGTGGGTGAACGATTTTTTTTCAGGTTTTAATGGGGCCTAAAGTCTTACATGTATTTTTGAGTAATGATGCTGTTTTGCTGCAGTGTCTTTCTAAGCAATGAATCTTCTTGGTTGTTTTATTGAAACTTGAAATTGTAATATACTGTAACAAGTACAAAAGTAACTCTGAAGGAAGGCTTCCTGTTTAATGACTTAACAAGCAGTTTGAGCCTGAAATTGTTTTTTAGATGATAAAGTTCAGTTTGGAAAATAAAACCCGAGGCCAGAATTGAAAAGATATAAAGTAGCCTACTTGGAGGGAAACAAGGCTTCTCCTGTGCTTCACGGGTCAATTTCTTGAAGATCTACTTATGCTGTTCTGTGTACAGTGAATTTATTGTTAAACAAATGGTAAAAATAGGGGGAAGAATACTCTGCTTCCCCTCTGGTGCTAGCTTTATAAGTTTCAATCCTTCAAGGTTGCTTACTAAGACTATTTACTGTATGCAGTTCTGTTGAACAGATGGAAGTCTTCACAGAAAGAGTGAAATGTATGCATTCAAGATTAGATGGTGTATTTTGCAGATAAATTACACCTGTATTTTCTTTACAAAACATGTGCTTATTTGAGTCTAATTTCAGGCTTGAGGGTTTGGGATGCTCTTCAGTCTGCTGTTCTCAATGCAGGCTGACTGAGGTGTTGCATAGCAAACTGCTCATCTCTGCTAATACACTCAGTCTCTTGCTTATACTATGTCCCACCTGCTTCTTCTGCAGGAGATTGTTTTGCTTTGTATATTTGTATTACATGTTGGCAATTATTGTTTCTTAGAGTAGCTTATGATTGCCAATATTGTATTCTTCAAAAGTCTAGGAGTTATTACAGGCTAATAGTTTTTGTCACTGGGACTGTATTTTATTTATTGACTGCCAGAAGCAATATGATGGCTTTTATAACTCCATTAGTGTAAATATACTTAACATGTGTAAGAGGCAAATAGCAAGTCTGTTGCAGGTTATTTTGATTTGTTTCTCTTCAATTCAGCAATCTGACCACTATCTTCTAAATTAATGATCTCAATTTGAAATATTAAGCTCTTCTTGCTAAAGGGGGGGGATATCTAGTGGCATAGTTTTTGTATTGTTAAATACAAAAAGCCTGTGCCTTGTGTACAGTTTATCTTCAAGGGCTAATGGACAAAGTTTTATATAGTGGTATGCAATGTTTCTTCCTTAATTTCAGGAATTCCTATTCCCATGCAATTAAATTAATCTCCTGAAAAGTGAAAGGAATATAATTATCATTTTGAAATCCTTCTAGGTCTTTTTATAAAAAGCAGGAAGGAAACTCTCTGATGGCAGGTTTGAATAGGCAGCCTATGTTACTTTTGAATTATCAAGGTGATAAGGGCACTCTGTGTTAGTTGCAATAATTAGAGTTTCTGCAATAGTCATGTCTAATAGTACTGAATGGGACACCGAATCAAATTTGACATTGCCATGGAATAGCGGATCACAATGTCTGTGTTTGGGGTGTCCTCCCCCTCTCTCCCTGCCTGTCCCCAATGCTGTAAGGAAATCCAGGAGAGTTTGGCAAAGCTACTAAAAAGCATAAAGGAGGGGCTTCAGAGTTGGTTAAGTTGTTTTTTTCAAAGGATTGTAAACATTTTAATAAGTCATCATGAAAGAGGTATATTCTGTGTTGAAAAATTATAAGGAGATGCACACAATTTAAAACAAGTGCTGCTCCATCAGGTTATCCAGGCAGCATATTAAGGTCTAATGTATTAAGTTATTAGGCATATCAGTGGAGGAAGATCAACATGCAACTGTCCTGCCAGTTTGTGAAGGCAGTGAAAAGTATTCACGTGGTGTGGAAGATCTTTCTTTGGGGTTGCTTCTCCTGAATATGTGCATTAGATGAGGCTCAGTAAGTTATGATATTTGTGGAAACATGGGGTTTTCTGGTCACAGTGATTTGTTTATTCCCAGATTGAGGCTTTTGTGAGCATATTTGTTAATTATGTGCTTCTTTGCATAAAGAACACAATAAACAATCTAATCCTAAGGAATACATACTGGGCTATAGACCAAAGGTTATTTATTCCAGTATCATGTCCTCAGCAGTGGACATATAGAGTAACAGAGGCCAACATATTGTGATACTGCACCAAAATTCTTTCCGGCTTCCAGTTTTGAGTTCAGAAATTGCCTCAACGGTGGAGTCTTTCTAACAAATAGCCCTCGGTGGATTTTATTTGTTCAGTTGCTTTCTGAGTGTGTGTGTGTGCTGGTAGCTCCTAGCAGCAGGAGGTTCTGTGGGTTAACTGTGTGTTAGAAGGGGAACCACTGCCTTTTGTTTGTTGGAACCTGTCAGGCAGAAATGCCATTGATTGCTGGCTAACTCTTGTCTTGGAGTGAATGAGCAAACACTCCTCATTTACCTTCGCTCAGTGCTCATTTCAGCCTTCTGGGGTTTGCAGGCATAGCCCTCCCGAAACACAGGAATTTTGTATAAGTTATGTGTGATTGGACTAAATGCATGTCTAAAGTGGTATGTTAAAAGGGTTAGAACTTCAATTTGCTTATCAGTTTTTTTGGTCAATGCTGTGGAATGTAAAAATCACAGGAGGATGTTGCATATGTTCTTGCATAAAACTGTGCGGTGTGTGTGGAGAGAGGGAGAGTTGTGTGTGTTTATGCTGAATTAGTGTTTGGCTAATTTTTGCTGGTTTTATGAATTTGAATTTAAAGCACAAATACTGCTTGTAAGAAGGCCAACGATCCTGTCATGTTATTTTCCTTCCCTAGCTGCGACAATTAGTTAATATATGCATCAACCCAGACCCGGAGAAGCGACCAGACATAACCTATGTGTACGACGTAGCCAAACGTATGCACGCACACACCGCGAGCAGCTAGACACGGCGTGAAGAACAGAGCAGGAAGAACCAAGTATTGGAGAGAAATCATCCCACCTCTTCGTGTGTTACACACACGGAATTATTTCAAGCTTCCTGTTGTGCTTTGAATTGTAAACCGATTTGTGTACAAGCTTTGTTGTTTTCTGTTTATTCGGGTTTTCTTTTTTTTTTTTGTATTTTTTACTAACTTGCAGTTGTACAACACATTTAAATATGTAAAGCATAATTCTAAGATACCAAGAACCACTGTTTTCCCTGTTAAGTGGGTTCGAGTATATTTTCTGTAATAACAAAAATTGTATTCAGTTGGGCCTCAGTTCTAAAACACAGTTGCACTTTTGCACATGAGACAGATATTAGGCTTATTATCCAGAAGCAAAATGTCTGAATCCCTCACCTTTTAAGTAATTTATGGAAAGTATGAATCAGCACATTTAACTTTATTTTAATCTTTGTTCTAAGAGGAACAGAATTATTTTAGAAGGTTATTGTATTGTATATTGAATTGTAGTTTGCAGTTCTTGCTATAAGAGTAGACAGGCGATAGGATTAGTTCTCTGCTTGCCAAATGCAATGGGAAAATAGTTTCAGGAAAAAATGGTCACGCTGAAATTTCTGTAACATCCCTTTTTGGTTTGTTATCTTGTCATAATACACATGAAACATTGGTTGGAGGTTTCCTGTAAAATTTAAGGTGTTGATTCAGCAATCTGGTGGTTTTCAACAGACTCGTGCAGCACTGCCCTGGGGCAATAGGAGTCTGTGTGGTTAAGTCTTAAAACCATGCAGATGCTTCTTGTACCAAATAGGGTTCTTTTGAGGCTAGTGTTTGAGGAGGTCTGATTAAAAAAGCTGATCTTTAAGTTACAACTTCCCAGCTGTTTGTGTATATGTCACTGTTTGTAGATTTTTGTGTTTAAAATAAGTTGAATGACCTTAGAATATATTTAAATTTTAAAATGTTGGGGTTTTTTTTAAGTGCAGAAATCTTTTGGGAAAGATAAAATAGTGTAGGATAACACAAATGTATTCTACATAAATCTGTGATTTTTTTGTATACTGTATCCTGAGAATTAGTTTTATATTTAGCAAAAGTAAATTTTAACTTTTATGTTTAGGAGAAAGTTGCCACTCCTTCACTTGGGAAATAAATATATATGCAAACTGTCTTACAAATAGTTTATTAGTTGAGAAAAAAATTCTGAATATTTTTGTTAGACCTTTAGTGCCTTTTTGGGTATGTTTAAATAATATTTTTATTGTTAAGAAAGGAATGTGTCTTGTTTTTAAATGTGGCGAAAATGGAGTGTGGAATGAAATTTCTTGAGTTTCAAGACTGAACTTTTTATACAGAACTGTCAAAACATAATTGTTATCAGTGATAACAGCTCAGAAGCTGTTATGGTCAGTTAAATCGTTTTCCTTATGTGGGTAAAAAGTTAGTTCAGGTATAAGCAGCAGTATGTACATACACATACTAGGTGCAGTCACTTCCCTGCATGCTCAGATTATTTTTTCTTGATTGTTTCTCTGTGCAGCTTTAATTTTTGATTTGATATAGTGCTGAAAAAATAAAAATCCTTCGTGGAGTTTGTGGATGAAATGTTCAAGCTAGGTCAGGGTTGGTTTGGGTTTTGTAGTTTTTTAAAGCAGCAAATACTATGGAAAATGTGTTTGGCAAAATACAGGACATTAAGTAGTATGTGCCAGATTATTGGCTTATCTTCATACATATTTTTTAAATTTTTGTTTCCAGATTTTGTAGGATTAATTCTATGAAACTGTAGTTTTCCTTCTTGCTTCTGTGTGTACTTAATCTTGTAGGACTTCAGTGGAACAATTTGTGGGGAAGAAATATCTGAGAAACTTTGGTTTGCATCTAGCAACCTCTAGATTTGTCTTCATTTATTATCTGATTATATCATTTAAACAATGATGGTTAAGTTCTGTAACAATATCTCATATGTCTCAGAATGAAATGCTTTGTATTGAAAAAGGCAGCACAATACTTGCTTGACTGCCAGGATTAGCTCTTAATATGCCCAAGTACTCCAACCACTTTTTTTCAGAAATGTGCTAGAACATTTAAAAATTACTGTAAAACAACCCACACAGTCAGGGCATTTTTATTTAATATTATACATAAAGTATTGGATTTTTTCCTGAAAGAAACTGATAATGTATGTCTTTCCCCCAGCAAGATATTTGGAGTGAAAAACTCATGACTTTAGAGTCAGCAAATGTGCATACTTAAGTATTTAATTTTTTAAGTCTTGTGGGTTGTTTTTTTTTTTTTTAGTATTTATGATTAAATCTTGTGCTAAGGAATAAGAAATAGTTGTTCTATGAAATGAATGGTACAGATGACTCTGATACCAAACATTATCATAAAAAAGCCCATGTGGGTTACTAGAACTGATTACATAACTGGGGATTGTGGAATCTATCCCAAAAGTAAAGCACCTGGTCACATAAGAAAATGCTAAGTCTGTTATAACACTCCCATGTATGCTGTATGCTTATACAACAATCTCTCTTATAGACCACATTTCTGTTTTTCATATGTTGATGATGACATTTGGCACTATTTATTTCAGGTTGCAGCATTGTGTTTATTTTCTTTAAAGTGAACATGTTATATTTCTATCCAAAACATCTGACTAGCCCTTTGTTATTTCAGTGATGCTCCAGTATTAACTTGCTTCAGGAGTGAACTTTGTGCTTTTGAATGAAATTGCATCAAATCTCCTTTGTGTCAAAAGCTCCCTGCTCTGCAGTAGTCTAATAGAAGTAAACCATACAGATATTAAGTAGAATGTAAAATGTAAAGTATTTCTATGATATTTTTTCAGACTTTTCTTGTTAGAAATATATATATATACACACACGCACAC